CCCCAAAACCCCAAAACCCCAAAACCCCAATATGCAAAGATATTAAATATGAGGTAAGTTTAAATCTTAAACTAAATCAAGATTTTATTGGAAGTAATTCACACTAAATTAAAGATAATCAAAATATTTCAGACTAAATCCATTGCTTATTACTTAGCATGTCTCTCTTTACTTTCTTTAGAAAATATCTAATCAAATTGCATTTAAAGATCTAATTAATCATTAATAGTTCGATTTTCTTTCAAATTATCATTCTCTAATGAAGATTTGTCTATTATATTTAGTGATTCATTGATACTCCTCTCATTTGAGATTAAATAATTGTTTTCAAATGATTTCAAGTTACTGACCTCATTCGTAATAAATCTCTCCCTACTCTCCTCGTCGACATTACTCATTAATTTCCGTATCAAAACATCTCTTACTCTCATCAGTAAAGTCTTATTCTTCAATTTTTCCTATTCATCTTCATCAAAATCCTTTAGTTTCCTTATAAATAAACCTCTAAGCAGTCTTTTGTCTAAATCTTCTAGCTTCTGGCTTTTATAGGACTGAACCATCTTCTTTAGCTTTCCAAATATAATCAGCCTAATCATTGGATTCTTACTCTCCATTAATTTGCTTGTATAAAACCTGTTATTGTTATCACTGTCTTCTGAAGATGAACTAGTCTCAATCAAATTTTTTCTTTGGAATTTTAGGATCATATTCTGTCTTTAATTCAATAAGACTTGTGTCAAAAGCTTTACTTACCGCATAGACTTAAGTATAGAAATCACATCCAATTCATCTAAAAACTTATCCTATCCTTTCTTAAAGATAAATTAGTTTTTGTAAGCTTTTTGATGTTTCAGAGTTTTGATTTTCTTCAAACATAGACAATTAACGATATACTCTAAGATGTTTCTCCCAGTATAACTAAATCTTTTCCTTTTAATCAAATTTAGAAGAATCGAATTTAGATCTTCTTCTTGCAGTTCCTTTTTATCTTTAATAATCTTATCCATCTTTAAATTTTCTACATCTTCATTTAGCTATATTTCTCTAGCTTTTTAATCATTTGAATGTTCTGTCATAACAATTTCTTGTTCCTATGAAAGTTAAAATGGCAATTATTCCAGTATCTACTTTTATTTAGATTCCTTAAATTTTAAGCTTGATATTAAAGATTTAGGGCTACTTTAGTACACAATATCATCAGTTTATATTCTTAGATTTTATTCCTCTTGTTATTCATCATCTCTTTAAGAGTGCATAGAAGTCTAAACTACTGATATACTTCGTTTATATGAATCTTACTCGCCTAAACTAACTCTGTTAAGGACTACTGTATTATAATCAAATCTGTTTGTTTAAAATCCCTTTTGCTAAGGCAGCCGAGATTTTTCAATCTGAAGCTAAGATTGAAAATTTTTCTTCATATTAATCTGAGTTTATTCTTGCCTTTTCACTATACTTCTTGTGCTATTATTTTTTTCAAAGCCTTTACTTATTCCTGTTTACTTTGGGAGTACTTTTACATTCTCAAAATTAATATTGCCTTGAGTATTTCTTGTCGGTCGAATTCCGTCAGATTTCATAGAATTTTAGTTGTGATCTTCTTTATCATTGTTATCATCCTCGTTCTTGACCTAATATATTTATCTGAGAATAGATGCTACAAAAATTCTTCTAGATAAGAAATCTATGAGTAAAAAGCCCAAGACATACAGTGATTACTATAAACCTCCTATGTCTCCGAGGAGTTAAAGCAAAGAATAAGTTTGTCAGTTATAGACATCATATCTGTAATCGAATCTAAGATAGAGGGCAATCAGAGTTCCTTCTAAAGCTGAATACTAATCATCATACTCTCTAATATTTGAAACTTAAGAAAAAGAAAATGCCTCAAATTGACCTAACTACAAGAAATCATCTTAGAGATTTGCTTCTTACTTCTGAATGTACATGTTAGACTTCTTATACTTATCAGATTCTATATCCCAGAATATTGAATCATCAATAAATGATTTCTTTGTTTGATCATAATCATTAAAATCTATTATTGAGTTCACTAAAGCCACATTAAATTTCTCCCGCTCAAAGAAATCATCTATTTATGATTGGTTTTTACAAACGATTTTTGAGTTCAATGAATTTTGACATTTTTGTAATTTAATTTCAATGTAACTAAACTTTGAGGAATAGAAGTTTCCCTCCAAGCTGATATTTTTTCTTACTATGCACTGATAGTCATCTATATTATACATTAGAATTTCTCTCTAGTTTTCATAGTTAAAATGTTCTTATCCGCATCGTTAGACTTCAAGTGGGATTCTATCCTTTATTCTAATCTAATTTCCATTCGCGTCATATTTGTCAATATAGTAATATCGAACTTAGTTTACTTAATAATGTCCTATGCTTGGATCAAGTTCTTAATTAATTCCGAAAGCAATATCAAATCCATAATCCATTGCTTTGAATTCTCCTTCTGATAATAAATGCCTCAAGAATGTAGGTTTACTTAAATATGGATTACTCTTTGAAAGCAGAACATAACTTCTAAATGCAAAATATGCCAGCAGAATAAAGATGACTATCAACGATGAAAAAGCGCCTGGTAACGTCTTGAATGAATCATCGCCTTTATAAGATAGATTGATCTTTTTTCCATAAATATCAATAGACTTTACTCGAGATTTGAAACTTTATGCGCAATTTTTCTTTTAAGAGAGTTGCTTTTCTGGCCTATTGACTTTTCTTTACTTCGGAAAAATACTGATAAGTTTTCTGCTGTTACTAATATTCATCGTAACTTAATTTAATATGTTATTTAATATTTCAACATGCAAATATTTTCATCATATGCATTACAAAAATTTCATAATTCCTCAAAATTGACAAACTTGTAATTGCGGGGTTTTGGGGTTTTGGGGTTTTGGGG